TGTTTGTTTGTTTGTTTGTGCTATTTGTCTGCTTCTTAGTTTCCTTTTCTCTCTATTTATTTACTTATTTACTCATTTGTTTGTTTGTTTGTTCGTTTGTTTTTGTTTGTTCTTTTGCTGCTGTTGGCGTTTGCTTGTCTCTGGCGTTTGTTTCTCTGTCTCTGATTTGTTTATGTACTATTTATTTTATTTATATAATTTATTTGTTTATTTACTATTTACTTATTTACTATTTATTTATTTTATTTGTTGTTTTTGTGTATTTGTTTATTTGTGTTTCCCTCGTTGGCTGTTGCAGCCGCTGCGTTTCGTTCTCCACCACACAGCGTTCCATGCCGCTTTTTTTTTTTTTTTTTTTTTTTTTTTTTTTTTTTTTTTTTTTTTTTTTTTTTTTTTTTTTTTTTTTTTTAATTATTATATCAATACAAATAAATAAAACAAACAAAATCCTTGAAACTAAAATAAAAAAACAAAAAAATATTTATTTTTTTTTTTGTGTATAGGATCGCTGCGCTCTCGCCGTCACTGGCTGGTTCCTCAGGTGTCTATACAGCCGATGGTATGCGAGTGGTTGCGTATGCGTGTAATAGAAGACAACATATCGGGTCATTTTTATTTTTGTGTGGAGTATACTGAGGCGTACGAGCGGGCTTACCCTTTGTTTATATCGGCGGTTCAGTCTTTTGACTTGCTGCAGCTGCAGCTGTTCTGTAGAGAGCACCGCCACCACCCCGAAGCTCTTTTGTATCTCTCGCAGGCGCTGGCTGCTGCTGACCGCCGCGAGGAGTCTTTTGCTGTTCTATCGGATGCAGTAGCCAGCCTGCAGAGCGCCCTACACCCAGCATTCAACCCCTTCAAATACAACACAGACGGAACGCCACAGGCAAGATCCACAGGGTTTAGGGTTTAGGGTTTAGGGTTTAGGGTTTAGGGTTTTGGGTTTCAGGGTCTAGGGTTTACGGTTGAAGGACATTGGTTTGTTGTTTAAATTGTTTATTAACAGTCGTTTAGAGTTTAGGGTTTAGGGTTTAGGGTTTAGGGTTTTTATAGCTAACAACTGAAGGCTGAGTACTGCTCTGGACTCACATATATATACATATATATATATATATATATATATATATATATATATATATATATATATATATATATATATATTGTGTGTGTGCATATTCAGGTGTCGATGGATTCTGGGGACCCAATGAACCGTGTGTTGTTTGGGTGTTTATTTTTGTATATGGTGGGGTTGGGGTGTCAGGGGAGCGTGCGGTGCGCGCTGGAGGTGTGTAAGCTGCTGCTGGCGATGGATATACACCGCGACGGGCTGCATGCGCTGCTGCACCTCGATCACTACGCGCTGCGCTCAGAGCAGCTCACTTATATTCAACTCTTCTCTCGCTGCTTCGTGCTGCAGCACCTGGCTTATGTTGTGCCGCTGGGCCTTACGCATGCAGACACAAACAACAACACAGAAACTAAAGAGGGAAATATAGATATTAGTTTAGATGGAGAGTGTAGTAATACAGAAACAAAATATACTGATAAAGAAAATAAAAAAGAAAAAGAAAAAAAAGAAAAAGAAAAAAAAGAAAAAGAAAAAAAAGAAAAAAAAGAAAGGGATTATGTGGTGACTGACCTGCGCCTGGCGATGCCTAACTTCGCCTTCTCTGCGGCTCTTGCTTTCTTCATCGGCGCCTCAAACCGTAAATTTATTTTTATTTTTATTTTTATTTTTTTTTGTTTATATTTATATTTGTTTTGTTTTGTCTTTTTCTTTATCTTCTGTTTTTTCTGTCTTATTCATCTTTATATTTATTTTACTTTATTTTATTTTATTTTATTTTATTTTATTTTATTTTGTTGCTGCTTGCGTTTTGTTTTCGTTGACTGCATTTGCCTTTATCTTCTCTACTGCATGCACTTTAATTTTTTTGGTTTTTTGTTTCTTTTTCTAGTTTTCTTTCTTGCATTTGATATATATATATATATATATATATATATATATATATATATTATAAACAGTGTTTGTGTTGCTTCATCTCCTCTTTTTTTGTTGTGTTTTGTTTTTTTGTTTTGTGTTGTATGCAGCCAGCATTTCATCGATTCCCGGAATAAAAGCGGCGGACATTTGCGGTGTATATGCAGCATCTGACGACGAAAAAGAAGAAAAAGAAAACA